ACTTACGAACCAACCCTCGCGTATAAATAAACAACTCATTGGTCGTGTTGAATCCATGATGGCGTGGTTCTTCGATTTTCTGCATTTCATATATAGAAGATATCACGCCTACATCCCCACGATGATGCAATAATATGATCGACGTCAAACACGTGCTGGATGATTTGTTCCAGCTATTTTTATAGGTTTTTATATATTCATTTTTTCGTGGGGCAGTATTTTATGTTTCTTGGGCGTGTTCGAATTTTCTGGTGGACTTGTTTGGATTTTCAAGGCGGGGAGACCGAATGGCTGTTTTAAAGCCGAGGAAAATGTTGTTTTCGTTTAAATGTGCTGGGATAATCGGGTGTTCGAGTTAGTCTTTTCATGGCAGCTTAGAGCTGAGGAATATGGTTAGTACAATAAAACCACCGGAATGAGCGATTTTTTATGCGTACTTTTTCGTAATAGTTCTGTTCCGGATGACGCAATATGTATTTCGGTATTTTTGCGCAACGACTTTCAGGAAAGACAAGTAAAATTTGAAAAAACCTATTCCTTAAAAACATCAAGTTTCTTGAGAAAAATAATCTTCAAGGTGAATATGGTTTGAAAATAGGTTTGATAAGGGCTTGAATTTGTGGAATAATTGATACATCATGAAATGACTACATTTTTTACAAATTTCAGTGTAGATTTTTCAGTATGCAATGTAACCATTCTTTGAATAAAAGCTAAGTTTTTCACAGCATCAAGCTTAAATTTCTCCATGCCAAAATTATCTTGTATTCATTCCCAACACAAAATAAATGTCTTTTACAACCTGATTTACAGTATGTAATTTGACCCTAATCCATTGCCAAACAAGGGCTGAATTGCAAAGTGGTTAAATTGCCAGACATCTTTTTGAAATGAAAAAATCTCAAAGTAAAAAAAGGCCAAAGCAGGCCAAATTGCAGGGCAAGGGTGGAATTGCAAGTCAACTTCCCTGAAAATTCAACTGTCAAATTTCAGGATGGTCAAATTTGCTGGAGGTTAAATTGCAAGGTACCACTTGTACTGCACTGCATAAATTGACAATCTTTATGGCATGCTACTGCAGATATTTTTGTACTTGCAAAACCAGACTTTGCAAAGCAAGTTCTGAAATGCAACTTGAATTGCATACACTAGTATACATATTTGATACATTTTGATTCATTAAAAATTGGCAGGCAAGAACGATTTTGCACAAGCATTTTTGGCTCTGACAATTCAAAACAGCTCATATTTTCCTTTGCTCCCTCTCTCAATATTACATCATAAGAATAAAAAGGCCTTTGACATTTGTCCCTTGAATCCCAAATGCATCTTCTGTTGAATGGTGGGCACACAGACACACACACACACTCTCTGTCTCCTTCTCTCTCTCTCTCTCTCTCTCTCTCTCTCTCTTTGAATATTAAATAATAATAAAATAGTAATAATCTGAAAAAATTCAACACTGCCTGGGATTGTGATACACCACAGTACAAATGGGGTGTTTCTGATGAATGGCAACATCCCCCAGCACAAGCACAAGAGGGTGGCGCAAGGCGTGGGATGAAAGTCGTGACTCTCATCATCATCATCATCCCCAGCATGCATCGCAAGAAAGAAAGAAAAAAAGATACAACTTGCATGGAACCAAAAGAAGAGAAAAAAAGAAGAAGAAGAAAGAGAGTTCCTTTTGAAAAAGTCGAACAACAGAATCGATCATAGCCGAACTTAATTGATCACAGCGAGGAACACGCGCTTGTGCAATGATTGATAGACTGACTGACTGAATATCCCCCCCCCCATTTTTTCTGCGTGTGCCAATAATAAGCAGTGACATACAAAATTTCTGCAATTTTCTTTTGCTCTGTATAACTGCGGGGCTGCTGTCGCATCAACTGCAAAAAAGCCCCAACACACTCCTCTTCTTTTCAAAAACTAACTCACCTTAATTTTTGACTACTTGATGATTTGTAGAAAAATAAATTTCGGATACTTTGTGCATGCATGGTAGTAAATAATGTTACAGCAGTTATGTCCCTTGGTTTAAAAACGTAATCCATTACAGAAAGACATCCAAACACTTTTTATAGCCAAATTTTGTTCTTCCCATCATTGAGAATTTTCCAAATGAAGTCAATGTTAATATGAGAAATAAAATTAGGACCCATCACCACATAAAAGGAGGCCAACAAATACTGCATTTACTCAAGTTACACATACCGCCCTCTAACGAGTACAATGCACATCTGCTTTTTTTCATCCTAAAATGGAGATAGAAAGAAAGAAGAAAAGCATTCCATTTTTACTTGAAGAAAAGTTTCAAAATTTTGAAAATAAAATCAATCAGAATTCAAATTCAGACTTGAATTCGACCAAATTGAATCAATTCTCAAGGTTTCCATAGCATTTTTCCACTGTTGGTAAGAATTTAACAGTTTGAGTTCAATAAGATGTACACCTGTACTTTACACTTATACAGTTTTTGAAGCTATTTTTTCATTTTTCAAACTGTCCATAATGATGTGATTTTTCTTTATTCTCTGATAATTTCAGAAATAGGTAATAAGATATGGTAATAATGCTAATTTTTTGGGACCTGTTGTACAGTACTGTACTTAGTCATCAAATAGCTTCTCTCAATCCTTCTCATTACAGAAGACAATGCACAAGGCAGTTGCGCTTATCATACTTTCACATTCCCAATAATGACATGAAGTTGTATCAAGTCATGCAGCCACTGAGTTATGCAACTTGGCCTGAAAATAGGTCAGATCCTGGTCTGACTAGCATTGCTAAACTCCATACTGCAAAGTCCATAAAGGCACCTGTTCTCTGTTGTATGTGCACTCATTGCTCTCTGGACATTGTTCACATATGCTATTGGGCATGCATGCCATGTAAAGTAATGTACTCAAAACAATTCCTAGAAGTACAAAATAATTCCCCCTCCTCAAAATTGCAGTGCCAGGAAGCACCGCAGCATCCTGGACCATATATTTCTCACTCTGGTTTGTGAAGTGAAACCTTTTGAAGGTTAAATATAATTAGCAGTATATAAGCTGCTCCTTTTCATATCACAGGAAGAAGAATCAATTCATCAGTTCAGCTGTGTTACTCAAGTTATCCAAGTTATTCTTGCAAGTTGAGGTTCTTGAGTCATTTTATTGAGTTATACTTTGTGAAATACACTTCTCCCGTTAAATTAAGAATTCCTAAAAGGAATTCCTGGTCCTGTCCCAGACTGATTAATGTGTTTTATTATCTTTTAATCAACACTCCACATCAAATTATATTGAAGAAATTTGTCCTTATTATAAATTGGTATATGCTGTTTGTCCATTCTTGTGGAATACAGAAATAAACACTTACTACTGTTATATAAGAATCTCAAGGAGACTTCGTTTGGATAATCCAGCAATAAAGAATGGAAATCTCCTTGTTACTAAAGTTTTCAGATCTAAATTAGGGATACCTTTCAATGTCAAGTATTCAAGAGTGAAGACTCAAGCAATGTGTGCAGTACTTCATATCTTATTCCATTATTTAGTTGAGGTCTGAAAACAACTTACTGATTGTCCAATAGACCTTATGCACATTTTTCATTGATTCTTTTAATGAAAAATACCTGAATTTTAGTAGAATCTTTATTTCACAACGCCATTCAAATCAGGGAAATATCTTCATCAGAACCACAAATAAAATCTTTTTCATGGGCAGTGAGTCATACAACATCTTAGCACCTATTTCTCACAGTGAGATTATTTCATGTAAAATTCTACTCTAATTTCTTATTGGATTGTAAAAGTAAAAAAATACAGTTAATCCAATTCATTCGAATTCCTGGAAAAATGCAAGCTACAACCAAGTATAATCCTTTCCGGCAGAACACAAAATTCCATTCTTCCCCATATTCTTTGCAAAATTGTTTCCAATAATTTGACGAAAATCAAGCCAAAAATATCCTACTCAAGAAAAGAAGACATTATAATTTCATTTCTATTTTCGACTTGAGAAACGTTGATTACGTCAGCCAGGATTTACACGGTTACCAACCGTCCGAGAAATGCACACAAAATTATTTACAACAATCCAGGAAATCCCCTTTGTGAACCATAAAAAGGAATTAGAGGCACCCGGAAATGAAAAAAAAAACTAAGTCCTGGATTCCGTCAGCAGGAGCTTATGCAAAATTTCAGCATTTTATATAGCATATGTATGCAAAGCAAGTTGCAAAAATACGCGCGTAAAAACAATCCTTTCAAAGACCTCATGAAACTTCCCCCTTTTCAAAAGATAACAAAATCATCTCCTTCGCAAAAGTACTTCACAAAACTAGTGTTCTCCAGGTTTGATTACAAAATACAGTATAGCATTTTATCGCACTCAAAGAAATTGAAAAGTACTGTAAAACTATTCACTCGTATATGCGAAGCTCCAAAAGGTGTATTGCTAATTTTTTCGGGGTTTGGAAAGTGGATTGCATCACTTTTCTTCTAGTAACCAAAGAATCGCAGAAAAATCGAAGATAAATACTGGGCTTCGAGATGATTACCTGGCATTATCTGGAAAAGAAATATTGCAGAAAACATGCGAAATTGTACGGCATTATACAAGTTTTATTGCAAAATATGTGGATTTCGATTCACCAGAGAAGGAATAAAGATAAACTCATGAACACAAGCAGCCAAATAAAATTCGCCAAAGAAAATCATTTTTAATGCACTTTTTTTTAATGTTGAAATGATGTGAAGCAGGTGGAGACTCAACTTTCTTCACCTATAGTAAATCAATTTAAGAATACAGTTGAACCTGTTCAAGCCAAACTTAGAGGTACTCACAATAATTCCCCTTGAAAAGTTTACAAGGTACAGGGAAATAAGCAGTTTTTTAACTGGTGAGAAATGTAGAATTGTAGAAATTTTAGCTTGTTGATCCTTTGGGTGGACTCAACCTGTTGGGTATGAGGTGCTATATTTGGAAGAATAAAAAGATATAAGAGGAACCCCGAAGATTCCACGAAGGAAAACCCGTTTCCCAAGAAAACCCGTCAGCATCCATGTCATCATCACTGTGTCTCCTTCTTCTTCCACTTCAGAAAAAAAAAAATGCCAAAGCCACAAGGCAGACTAATGAAGCGACTCCAGCTCAACTCTGACCTCGGGTCAAACACTTATTGGCGAAACCTGCTTCCACTTCCTGTTTCTCCCTCTCCTCTTATTCACTGCAAGAGTCCCAACAAAAATCACTCCACCTCTCCCCCTTCCAAAAAAATGCCTCTTAAATAATTACCACTGTCTAAAGGGATTGATTCAAATTTGTAGCCACATTCAAATGTTCTCAATACAGTACTTTATTTGAAAAATTCATTTCTTTGTGAAAGGTGAGAAAAATTAGTGAAAAGAGCAGCCCCTTTTTGTCTGGCCTTGATGGAGTGCTTGAACTAAAGTTTTTCATTTGAACTCATCAAATAATTTGTTGTTATACAGTAAAATCTCATGGCAACAAACTTTTGAGGACTTTGGTACAGGTGTTACCCTACAATTTGACCATAAACCATTGCTGGACTAGCGCGTTGAATTGCAAATTAGTCAAATTGTGAGACAATGTCAAATGGCATGTTTTCCACATGGAATTTGATGTTTTGTGACTCTTTGCAGGTCAAATTGTGAGTTGACCTCCAAGAAAATTTGACTGCCAAATTGCAAAAGGTCAAATTGCAAGGTACTGATTTACCATTTGTATACTGAATAATTGGTTATACATGTGCTGACCTGCAATTTGAACCTAGTCCATTGCTGGAATAGGGTCAAATTTCAAAAAAGTTAAATTGTGAAGCTATGCCAAATGCAACGGTCCCTACATTGTGTTTGACCCTTTTGCCCATCTCTGTGGGTTGGATTGCGGGCGGGGCATTGGCCAAATTGAAAGTCGACCTCACAGCAAAATTGGCCATTGAATCACAGGACAGTCAAATTGCAGGAGGTTGGATTGCAAGGTACCACTTGTAAGTGTTGTAACAAGATTTTCAAAATGGATGATTACAAGAAAATCTCACATCAGACCTGCCTATAATCAATTAGTTCTTGTATATACAGCATTCTCAGAAATTTTATTTTTCTTCAGTGATCTTTTAAAAAAGAAATTAGCTTCAATCCTATATTCATTAGCTGCACCAGTATCTTTGTCAAGGAAATTGCTATTTGGAACCCCTTGAAAGCTTTTTGCCTAATGTGATTACATCTTTCATCCATGCTACAAGAACCAGTCAGCCATATTTGGGATCAGAAATTTCTCACTGTGTCTGCCTTATAGTCAAGAAAATTCAACCCAGAAAATGTATTATTAATCATTCCTCAAAAAGTTTGCTTAACTGTATTTTGATAGTATGTTTTATTGAGTTGGTTTCAAACATTTACTCTATTGGCTATCTGGTGGGATTAGAGATAACAGTTTTTTATGCTGAAAATTTAATTGTAACAGTGACTGTTATTGTTACCAGATTTGTATGTACTGTAAAAGGTTTATTTGATGCTTGTCAGCCTTCACAAAGTTCACAAAATTTTCACACACACTGTGTCCCTGTATAAATCCATTCAACAGTTTCTGGCCCATCAAAAATAATTCACTAAACTGCGTTCAGGTATTGACAAAAAATGCATCACAATAAAATAAAAAAACATGAATGATGAATTTTTATTGTAAAATACGAAGAAAAAAATTAAGTTATAGTTGTAAGCAAGTGACCCTATCATCGTTTGGACTTCATAAACTTATTCGCTTGAACTTTCTACGTTGGAACGCGTCACGTCGTTTATTACATCACCCCATCCTTGCTGCTGAGCGTGGAAAGGACGGGACTAAAAATAAAACAAGCCCATCACCCTACAAATAATCATAATAAAAGTAGTAAAAATAATGCTGAACCCGTAGAAAGTGAGAGAAATAGACAAGGAACCAACTTTCCCCCTCTGTACTTGAAGACCAGGAAGAAGGAAATAAAAAGAAGAAGAAGAAGAAGAAGAAGAAAGAAAAATAACGGCGATGCTTCGGGTGAAAGAAGTTCTTATTGGGATGACCATAAATTATGTAATGAGTACCACTATTTTCTTGACCCACACTTGACTCTTCGAATTTGATACATAGACCTAGAAGAAATCCAAAGACAATTTCCATTTCGTCAAAATATGATGGAAAGTGCCAATACAATCGCAGGAAAAGCCGCCTGAAACCTTATTTCGGTCTGGGAACTATAAAGACTCATATTTTTATATTTTTTGCAATATAGACATTTGACTGATAAATGATTAGCTATAGGGCTTCAATGCCTGAAAAGCACCTCTGTGAATGATATGACAAGATTCTCAGCATAATTTGTCATGGTATTCCATTATCTTGATCTAGAAAACTCTTACTTTCACAATAATATCATGCGCCGTTTGAAAGTATTCAGTTACAGGGTTAAACAACTTTTTCAAAATATATACAGTACAAGAAATAGGGCATGTGAAAATTTTCACTGGTTCTTAGGATAAAATAATAGTATTTCATATGTTTGCATAGACATGCCATCTTTTTAGACGTATTTCAAAAATATTTTTAATTCCACCCTTAGACTGAGACCATGATTTATAAGCATTTAATTGAAATTTGGTTCATTCTGGATTTTTATTCAAATGTTCAATAAGACTTGGGTGCTGTCATGTTTTTTTCTATATTAGCATCAATTTTACTTAATAAGTTCTGCATTAATGAAAAAATTATACTGTACCATAAAAACGTTTTGCTCTTTTGTTCCAACACATTTGTGAATTCCAGAATACTGACAGCTTGAAATTGTCAGGACTAAGTCTACTTCCTAATAAGAATTGTTTACTATCCCATTTACTTGAGGACCATGTGCAGCTTTTCTTCAAAACAGAGTATGCAATTTACATCGGATATGAAGGTAAAAACTTTTAAAGAAAAATTCAAATTCGGTGTTCATCATACTGTGATTGAAAAAAATTACCAAATAAGTGTACAACATCCTAAAACACACAATACATACAAAATTACCTAGGATGAAATAAATGTTCCATCCAAGTTCAATGAAATATAAAACACACTCCAATAAAATAAGTTTCAATAATTTTCATTCAAGAATAAAAATGCATATTTTCAACTGCTAAAATGTTGAAAACTGTAATTTGATCAAAATCTGAAAAAAATTACCTGACTAAAAATTCTTAGGCAAAATGATTTTCTTAATGATTTTTAAAACTCATTCGGAATGGGTTGGTTTTGTTCTGGCAGATATTACCCACTTAAACAAAAACATTGTCAATTTATAAAACATACTATGCAATGTTGATGCAAAAAATCCCAGAGACTTTTAATTAATCTAGGACAGCTTTTGGATGCATTTCTTCATTGCCATAGATAAATCATCATAGCTAATCAATCAGTGTAAAAAATGTGAAAAAATCAGCAAATTTTTCCATTAAATTGCATTTCCAAAGATTTTTGGACCAATGCCATGCTGGTGACTGACGTTATACTCAATTTTTCAAAACTCCCTCCATGACAGCCAGATAATTTACTCCTTTCTCATCCAGATATTTAATGCAAAATTAATCACCCAGGCTATAGTACAGTACTGTATATAGTGGACAGAACGTGGGATGTGACCGAGAATTCATGAAAAAAAAAGGAAATCCTTTCAATGCGAAAATGAGTTAAACCTTTTTGATTAATTCCCATATACGCGGTCAAACACGTACAGCATATCCAGTCCAGCATGTCTTAATTATGACACCCGCAAAAAAAATGTGAATAAGCGACAAAAACATTGAAACAGTCAAGAAAATGGGCCCAGGTTTTTGCGTGTGATGTTTCCCAAGACCCGTCACTGGAAATGAAGAAGGAGATAGACGAAGAAAAAAAAAAGAAAAAGTAAAGACAGACGAGGAGAAATCCCCAAGTGATACAAATAGCGTAATGGAGCGGAACTCGCACGAACTCGCTGCGTTTTGCAACTCAAAATGCGCAGGGATTCGAGGTCACTGCTGGGTTTCTTCTGTGACCAGACACAGACACACACATACACACACATTCTCGCTCCGTCTCTTTTCCCCACTGAGAAGAACAAGGCAGGTATTGTAAAAAAAAAAAAAAAGAAAGAGAGAAATGAGCAAATGCTGATGGTGTGCAAAATATTGTCCTTACCAAACTGTGAGAATTTCCAACCTCTTGCAAAAATTATTGCCACCTTCCATATAGAGACTTATGGTACAGCCAAATAACCCTTGGTTCAGTAACATATTTTGCTGGATTTAAACCAAGCAAATTTCCCAATACCTCGTTTATTTGGTTCATAAAATCAAAATTTTGTGTAAACTGCACAATGCTGTACAGTAAGGTGTCAGTACAACAAACAAATTTATCGAATTTTTTAACAAAAATTTGCTCAAAAAATAAAAACAAATTTTTTTTATTTTATTGTTCATGGTTCTGGATCACTGGAATGTTGTGAGGTAATGATTGCTTCAAAGTGTTTCCAAAACAGGTACAGTATTTTAATACACACACACTCTCTCTCACTCTCATCCTTCTTTTTTCCCCACTGACAAGAACAATAAAGGCAGGTATATGCGCAAATAAATACATAAATATACGTATGAGCAAATGCTGATGGTGTTCAAAACATTGTCCTTATCCACACTGTAAATTGTAAACCTCGTTTTGCAAAAATTATTGACACCTTTGATGGAGAAATTTGGTACAGCCAAAAAACCTTGGATCAGTACTTTATTTTGAATGTAAACTATGCCAATTTCTGCATCACAAATCTTTTTAAAATCCCAAATCAGCCCTCTGTCGGTACAATATGGCAAAATCTCATTCCTATACACAGCCTGCAAAACATGTTAACCTCATTATAACAATGTTTTTTAATTTGCTGCATTTTTTGAATAATAAAATCAGTGATTGGAAAAGAACTGATGTATACCAATAATGTTCAATACATTTCTCAGGAAAACAGATGAGGAAGAAAAGTATTTATTTCAAAATCAAGTGTGAATGCTTCCAATTTAGTCCTCAGCAGTGTTG